TCCTCTCCCTCTCCTCTACTCCTCTCCTCTCCTCTTCTCCTCTCCTCCTCTCCTCTCCTCCTCTCCTCTTCCCTCCTCTCCTCTCCTCCTCTCCTCTTCTCCTCTTCTCCTCTCTCCTCTCCTCCTCTCCTCTTCCCTCCTCTCCTCTCTCCTCTTCTCCTCTTCCCTCCTCTCCTCTCCTCCTCTCCTCCTCTCCTCTCTCTCTCTCCTCCTCTCTCCTCTCCTCTCCTCTTCTCCTCTCCACTTCTCCTCTCCTCCTCTCCTCTCCTCTCTCCTCCTCTCCTCTTCCCTCCTCTCATCTTCTCCTCTCCTCCTCTCCTCTTCCCTCCTCTCCTCTCCTCCTCTCCCTCCTCTCCTCCTCTCCTCCTCTCCTCTCTCCTCTCCCTCCTCTCCTCCTCTCCTCTTCTCCCCTTCCCTCCTCTCCTCTCCTCCTCTCCTTTTCTCCTCTCTCCTCCCCTCCTCTCTTCTCCTCTCCTCTTCTCCTCTCTCCTCCTCTCCTCTCCTCCTCTTCTACAGAAATCAACCTTCCCATTTCTCTGCTCCCTCTCTTCTCCACAGTAACATGAGACTAAACCCACAGCCTGGAGGTTCACATCATAATAATAACACTAACAACACAAACATTTATTTTCTGGTGAGTTTTGGGTGAAATAAAACCCAGGGGCGTGAACATAAAACGGTCAATATTAGCGTGTTCTCGCCATCTGGGACTTTGACATCATCACGACTAACAACGAGAAAACAAGACATTAGAGAGAATCTTCCAACCGCTGCTCGGTGACGGCGGCAGATTCCAGCCCCGAGGCCAGCGCCGAGAAACCCCAGCTGTCTTTGAACACACCGCCGTATGCTCACATTAAAGGAGACATACCATGCTTCAGTTCGCTAATCTACACAACAGGCTGTATTTACTTTATTATGGCTTCTTTATTATGCTAAGGCTAGAGATTTTATACTAGCTTCTTTATTATGCTAAAGCTAGAGATTTTATACTAGCTTCTTTTTTTATGCTGATGGACCAGAGTTTACACATGGTAAGACCAGGCCTTTGGGGAGCTACTCTGAAGAGCGTGGCGAGGTAGCTTTAAAGACATTGTGTAACGCCAAAAACATGGTATAAATCTGTACAAAGTGGACTCCACATGGTCCGTCCTCCCTGATTTGGCTCTGAGGATGTCCGTGACTCTTCCAATTGCCCTTTTCGTCGCCAATGTCTCCGTAATCTGTCAAACCATCTTTACACAATCAGGTTAATGCTACGCTATCATTAAGACACGATCTCGAAAATGACGTTTTAAATGGATCCATTAATCAGCGGGTGACACCGCGGTGCAGCCGGGACGGGAGCGGGAATCTCGCCGCGTTGTTCCCGGGAGAAAGACCGACATACAGAGGTAAATGCAGCTATTAGCACAACGCAGCAATTAGCATTCACTGTGTGGAATTATTCTCTTAAAAAGTGCCGCTATCTTTTCAACCTGCATAATTGTTGTATTTATTTAATTCTCTGCTAATGTGCAAAAGAGGAATTGTAAATCTTTGAAGACTAATGTCTGTGGAATTATGCTAATAGTCAAGGCCATAATAGCAGCTAGCCTCGCTTATTTCGGGGTTTTTTTCCTCCCAAAGAGCAGAGACAGAAGTAAACAGCTTTAATAAGATAGCTCTCCACTCAATTAAATCCAGACACGCTCGTGCGCATATTAACTAAGTTTTTTAAGGGGAATGGATGGATGGCAGGGCTGAATCAATGGACCAGCTTGCCTTCATAAATCAAAGTAATTTGGTAGAAAAGCTTTCAAAGGTAGACATCTGGGCCGTGTTTGGGAGATCAAGACGTTTTACTGGCATTCGGAGACCGCATCAGTCTGACATCTGTCCTGGACCAATCACAGATAAGACTTCAACCTAACTCTCATTCCCCCTGGAGAGAGGTTTTTCAGTTTCCTGGTCCTCACCGAGCAACACGGGCCTGGAAAGGATTAAAGGAGGATTTTTACAAGCTTTAGGAAAGAACCGCCCTCTCCACTTTTTGAACTAAACTCTGGTCTTATTGGACGAGCTCATATCACCAGAATGATTGACAGTTGAGAGGACCAATAGTCTTGATGATCCACCTGGAAGTTAAACATCTGCTAACACTTTACATTAGCCCTCACTAATTAACAGCTCATACAGTGTTAATGAGTGTATCCAGGGAACACACTGGGATGTCTGTGTGTTGAGAAGGACTCGTTTTCATGTTTTTTTGTTTAAATTCAGTAAACATGTGGCCAAAAGTGGTACTGCAGCCTCTCCCACTCTCCCTGACTCAGGTTGCCAGATATGCAGACGAATCCAGCTGGGACCATAACAGCTGAATAGACAAGAGTTTTGTCAACAACAAATCTATAACCAACACCTTTTTCACAATGATAGAAATCCTGTTTTATTACTTGTTTTGTCGTTAATGATTTGAGAATCATAACGAGACCTTTTTTAGTTCTGCACCAGGAGGGCGGGACATTGAAGTGAAAACAATAACAAGATTGAAGAAATGAAACAGAAAATACATTGGTTTGGTCCATAAGGAGCCACAAGTGTTGATGAATGTCCATGAATGTGAACTGTCTCGGATCATCCCCACAGTCCTGTCAGTAAGACCACACAGACTCACAGACTCCTGCATCAACAAGAACCAGCTGTAAACCAGTGAGAGACGTGAGAAACCTCGAGGAGAATCAAAAATGGACAAAGATTATCCAAAACAACACATTATATCTCTCCATCTCCTCTTCATCTTTCCCTCCCGAGTCCACTCCGGTCTGGATCCCGTGTCCTTGGGAGAGTCGGGCGCCTGCTGCACTGTGGAATGATCACTTTCCCATTAATGCACATTCATATTTATGCGCAGGATGTGTTCTTGTGATGAGAGCGCGGACAGCTCGGTGCTCGACCCGCTGGCCCTGAGCCACTCCTCTGAATATGGATGAGTCCCGGAGCAAAGCACTCATTAGACTGCTCCACCACCACCGCCGTCCTCCACGGAGCCGCCATCCAGACCTGCCCCACCCTCTGAGCAGCTGTCAAACGCCTGGGACCCAACCTGGCAACCCGACAGACCACACACACGCAGTTAAAGAAGAGTGTTTGGGTTATGTGTGTGTTGACAAAGTATTTTTATCTGTAGCACGTCCTCTCTGTTCTTCAGGGAATCTTTGTTTTGGTCAAACGTAAAAAGAAACTATTTTCAGAACTATTTTCTAAACAACAAACTGATTACAAAGAGCAGTCTGTAATCTGCACCTTTAGTGGTCATTACAGAGGCAAACCACCTGCTGGGATCAGATAGAAACAGTACAAACTCTTTTTCATGATGTGTTGAAACATACACCAGTGATAGAGACCTCCCATGGACTCCACGTTGGTTCTGGTGTCATTGAATGGATTTAATTAAGTATTAGCTTATTAGCTTGAATTAGCTTCTGTGGTGTAGGAGTCTATGAAGCCATAGCAAATGTGAATCTACAATTTTGTCCATTTACATATTTGATGTAATATTATAAGCGTCCAATAAGGATGATCCATAGACACATGATTCAATGACATTTAAAAACATCGGCCCCGGCTCCTCATTTGAACTCTTTGATTCTCAGATCTATGTGGGAAAAACAGTTCTCCAAGAAAACTGCTGTTGTGATTGATCCACAAATAAATTAATAGTGAAAACATGTCGGCACCTAAAGGATTTTTAGATATTACTCTGCTGACCTGGCAACCCTCCAGAGCACACCAACAGACTGGAAAGAACCTGGCAACCCTCCAGAGCACACCTACAGACTGGGAAGAACCTGGCAACCCTCCAGCGCACACCAACAGACTGGGAAGAACCTGGCAACCCTCCAGAGCACACCTACAGACTGGGAAGAACCTGGCAACCCTCCAGCCTCAGTTATAAACACAGACTCTACTGCAGACATCAGTGGGAGTCGGTGGAGAAGCTCTCGTGGTGGGATTGAACCCACAACCTTCAGGCTCAAAGGCCAATGCTCTTCCAACTGAGCCCCGACTTCATAACATCTTCCTGCTGCCAGTCAGTGTCCTCTGCAGCTGCGTTTTCCACTGTACGCATGGCTTTTTACAGCTGCAGCAGCACTCACACATACATCAAATGTGTTGAGGGCCTTTGAACTGTGCTTACAATGAGGAAAGCATGTCTATATTGGTGGAGCTGAAGTTGGCTGACTGACACTGAGGACTTGTTTGAATGAGTTTGTAAGGCACAAAGTGACAGAACATTTAGTGAAGGGGAAGAAATGTATGTTTGCTTGTTTTTACCCCTCCATCCTCAGAGTTTGCTTCAGTTCATGAACAGACCAAAGTAAATGTCTGCTTTTGAATGACATGAGGGACATAATCACATACTGTCTGTTAATATTGAGAATAGGCCTAAATATTGTAATCCTATCAAATCGTCACACTTTGGTCGATTCCCTGATAACACAAAGACTGTTCTCTCTCTTCATCTGTAGAACCATGAAAAAAAGATCCATTGCTTCCTCCACATTGTGAGCGTTGTGAATGCTGCAGGAGGAGGCTGCGCTGGCCACACATCTGTCACAGAGGATACTGCCCCAGGACATAAACACGACTGCAGCAGCTGCTCTCACTGCATCAGCATCGCTCTGAGCAGATGTTAGCCACAAAACACAAAGAAGAAGAAGAACGGACGAAAGAAAGCGTTGGCATAAAACTAAGTACTAGTGGAACCAGTTTGGGGGCAGGTCCCAGCTCCAAAAGGTCCATGAACACGTGCACTGACAAACTGTAATCCCACCCCGGGCCTGTGGGGGTGTACCCAGAAAGAGAATTAACCAATGCTTTTGTATGGAGTCTTCTTATGTCTCAAAAACAGCTTTATGGGATGGTCCAAAAGTGGGTCTTGGTCCAAAAGTGGGTCTTGGTCCAAAAGTGGGTCTTGGTCCAAAAGTGGGTCTTGGTCCTAAAGTGGGTCTTGGTCCAAAAGTGGTTCTTGGTCCAAAAGTGGGTCTTGGTCCAAAAGTGGTTCTTGGTCCAAAAGTGGGTCTTGGTCCAAAAGTGGTTCTTGGTCCAAAAGTGGTTCTTGGTCCTGTTTGTTCCAGATGCTGTCTGAGGGGAGTATATGTCTAGTTTAGTCGCTGTGGACTTTTGAATGCACTTGTTAAATACACACACACACCAGAATCATACAAGGCGTGTGTGTGCGTGTGTGTGTGTGTAAGTAAGTAATGTTTATTTATATAGCGCCTTTCTCAGACCAGAGTCAAAGCGGTTTACAATTGTTGGGCATTAGCCTCTCACTCCACACAGAGATGGGAGCGGGGCCAGTACAGGAGGCACCTGTCAAAGTAAATGATACACTCTCCTCTGCCATCACAACCTCTGTTGGAGCCCCCCAGGGCTGTGTAAGCTCAGCTCTGTTGTTCACCATACACACCGACGATTGTCGAACTACTTCAAACTATCAACACATCTTCAAATATTCGGATGACACGGTCCTGGTGACCCTTCTGTCAAATACTGACAGTCCTGGGCTGCACCAGCAGGGCATAGACAAGGTTGTGATTTGGAGCAAAAACAACGCTCTGGAAATAAACACCAAAAAAACAGAGGAGGTGGTATTTAGTTTAAACCCAGTAACCACAGCTCCCACTATCATCAACAACGAGCCAATCAAACAGGTGGAGTCATTCAAATATCTGGGTGTGGTCTTAGACTGTTCCTTGTCTTGGAAACACCACATTGACTTCATCTGTAAAAAGACTGCGGTCTTTTGGAGCGTCTCGTCAGGTGTTGCTTCTGTTCTTCACTTCTGTGATTCTCAGTGTCCTGCAGTACTGTAACGCTGTGTGGTACAGCTGTCTCTCTGTCACTGCTAAATCTGGACTGAGACACTTGATTAAAATCTGCTCAAAGATTGTAGGATAGCCCCTGGATGGACTGTACGAGGCTGCATACCATAGCAACACACTGCGACTGGCTAAGAACATCACTTCAGACCCCGGCCATGTTCTGAACCTCGAATATGCGCTGTTACCATCAGGGCGGCGGTACCGTGTGCCACATTTTAATAAAGTCAGGTTGAGGAACTCCTTTGTCCATCAGTCCATCCTGAAGCTAAACGAGGATCTTAAGTCATAAAATCAAAGTGTGTTATGGCGAGCGGACAATTGTTTATAATGTCTTTGTGAATTGTCTTATACCTGTATGTCTTGTTTGTATTTTTACGGAGCTGCTGAACTGCAAAACAAATTTCGGATCCTTGTATCTGACAATAAAGCATTTATCTATCTATCTACCTATTGGACATGTTTTTAGTGCTAGGGGAAACTGGAGTACCCGAAGGAAACCTAAGCAGACACGGGGAGAACATGCAAACTCCACTCAGAAAGGCCCTGTTCCAACCAGGATTCGAACCCAGGACCTTCTTGCTGAGAGGCGAGAGTGCTAACCACTCAGCCACCATGCCACCCACCTGTGTATGTGTGTGACTCTCTGCCTGTATGTGTGTATTTGTGTGACTCTCTCCCTGTGTGTGTGTGTTTGTGTGACTCTCTGCCTGTGTGTGTGTGTTTGTGTGACTCTCTGCCTGTGTGTTTGTGTTTGTGTGACTCTCTCCCTGTGTGTGTGTGTTTGTGTGACTCTCTGCCTGTGTGTGTGTGTTTGTGTGACTCTCTCCCTGTGTGTGTGTGTTTGTGTGACTCTCTGCCTGTATGTGTGTATTTGTGTGACTCTCTCCCTGTGTGTGTGTGTTTGTGTGACTCTCTGCCTGTGTGTGTGTGTTTGTGTGACTCTCTGCCTGTATGTGTGTATTTGTGTGACTCTCTCCCTGTGTGTGTGTGTTTGTGTGACTCTCTGCCTGTGTGTGTGTGTTTGTGTGACTCTCTGCCTGTGTGTGTGTGTTTGTGTGACTCTCTGCCTGTGTGTGTGTGTTTGTGTGACTCTCTGCCTGTGTGTGTGTGTTTGTGTGACTCTCTGCCTGTGTGTGTGTGTGTGTGTGTGTGTGTTTGGCTGGCCTGTGTGTGTGTGTGTTGGTTTGATGGTGTGTGTGTGTGTGTTGATTTGATGGCCTGTGTGTGTGTGTGTGTTGGTTTGATGGCCTGTGTGTGTGTGTGTTGGTTTGATGGTGTGTGTGTGTGTGTGTGTTGGTTTGATGGTGTGTGTGTGTGTGTTGGTTTGATGGCCCTCGTCAGGACCGAGCCTCTCTCCTGCCGTTTCTTTAATGGCTGCAGTTTGAGTGCTTCTCTGGAGTTTTCAGACGTGTTTCTCGCAGATGGAGGCAGCGACACGGCGCCAACACACGACCACTGAGTATTTTTAGATCCGCCGTCGTCATCGCGTTTGGTTTGGACGCATGAGATGAGCGGCAGAACCGTCACTGCACCATAACGGTATTTTTAATTATTATTAGCCCTTAAATCTGAAAGTACAAACATGAGTTTATCGTCACAATCAGTGCTACAGTGTTAGCTTTTATCTTTAATACATGTTATAACGGGTGAATATAAATGAAATACTGTATATCAACACTAAAGGCTATCTGCTGCAAGTAAACAGTCTGTTGCTATGGTAACTAGGACTTGGTCTATGCTGAGTTTGCTCTGAACCAGTTTAGGACCAAGATGTATTTATTATTTTATTTATCTATTTGTCTCTCCGGGTTTCCATCCATCGTCCCAAACTCGCCTCCACAAACACACTCTCACTCACCCTGGACTATTGCACATGTTTTTAGTAATAGGGGAAACCGGAGAACCCGGAGGGAACCTACACAGACGCGGGGAGAACGTGCAAACTCCACACGGGAAGGTCTGGAGATGGGATCGAACCCATGACCTTGTTGTTGTGAAACACAAGCGTTGACCACTGCACCACCGTGATCGATCATTTCATAAACTTCATAAGATAGAAACACAGGGTCCAGTCTCCACAGGGTCCAGTCCACAGGGTCCAGTCCACAGGGTCCAGGCTCCACAGGGTCCAGTCCACAGGGTCCAGTCTCCACAGGGTCCAGTCTCCACAGGGTCCAGTCCACAGGGTCCAGTCCACAGGGTCCAGTCTCCACAGGGTCAAGTCTCCACAGGGTCCAGTCTCCGCAGGGTCCAGTCTCCACAGGGTCCAGTCCACAGGGTCAAGTCTCCACAGGGTCCAGTTCACAGGGTCCAGTCTCCACGGGGTCCAGTCTACACAGGGTCCATTCTCCACAGGGTCCAGTCCACAGGGTCCAGTCTCCACAGGGTCCAGTCTCCACAGGGTCCAGTCTCCACAGGGTCCAGTTTCCACAGGGTCCAGTCCACAGGGTCCAGTCCAGTCTCCACATGGACCAGTCCACAGGGTCCAGTCTCCACAGGGTCCAGTCTCCACAGGGTCCAGTCCACAGGGTCCAGTCCACAGGGTCCAGTCTCCACAGGGTCAAGTCTCCACAGGGTCCAGTCTCCGCAGGGTCCAGTCTCCACAGGGTCCAGTCCACAGGGTCAAGTCTCCACAGGGTCCAGTTCACAGGGTCCAGTCTCCACGGGGTCCAGTCTACACAGGGTCCATTCTCCACAGGGTCCAGTCCACAGGGTCCAGTCTCCACAGGGTCCAGTCTCCACAGGGTCCAGTCTCCACAGGGTCCAGTTTCCACAGGGTCCAGTCCACAGGGTCCAGTCCAGTCTCCACATGGACCAGTCCACAGGGTCCAGTCTCCACAGGGTCCAGTCCACAGGGTCCAGTCTCCACAGGGTCCAGTCTCCACAGGGTTCAGTCCACAGGGTCCAGTCCACAGGGTCCAGTCTCCACAGGGTTCAGTCCACAGGGTCCAGTCTCCACAGGGTCCAGTCCACAGGGTCCAGTCTCCACAGGGTCCAGTCCACAGGGTCCAGTCTCCACAAGGTCCAGTCCACAGGGTCCAGTCCACAGGGTCCAGTCCTCACTTTTGCCAAAATGGCGACGGGGGCTGGAAAATGTGAAAAACACATTTGTGCGTTAGCTGCATTAGCCTCATTCATTTAACGAGTACATTCTAAAGTCCACAGTGACTAAACTAGACTGGTCCAAAAACATATACTCCCCTCAGACAGAATCTGGAACCAAGAGGACCACGAACCACTTTTGGACCAAGAGCCACTTTTGGACCAAGAACCACTTTTGGACCATCCCGTAAAGGTGTTTGAGAGGTAATAAGATGCTATATGCTAGCTTTGGCTAATTCTTACTCCGGGTCCGCCCCCACAGGCCCGGGGTGGTATTGCAGCATGTCAGCGCACGTCTTTTTGGACCTTTTTGAGCCGGGACCCGCCCACACTGGTCCCCCTGATGAAGTCACCTGTGAGCTTCTAAAAGGAGGTGACTCCGCCCACAGGGTTGGCCCACAATATAAAATGGCTGACTGAGACACGCCTCTTCTACAGGTATGAAACACATGACAAGTGGCATTAAAATGGACACCCCACTTCATCACATTTAGAAATAGATCTATGAACAACAAAAAGAATGAATTGTGATAACTTATTGATACTTATAATTTTATGTCTTTTTTTTGTAGTTCCCATAAAAACAGAATGTTCCTCTAAGAATGAGGCCACAGAAGAGAGCGCTGTCAGGTTTCCATGTGACAAGGAAAGAAAACAGAACCAGATCTGTTAAATATTTTTGACCCAAAGAATCAAAATAATTGTGAAACTAAAACTTCTGACCCAATCATCCCAAACAAACCTCCAGCTCTTTCTGTCACTTCTGAAAGTATCTCAGTATTGAATGTTTGCGGTAATGGAGACGATGTGTTTACGCCTCAGTCTTTACAAAAGTTAATTGATATTTCTTCTTAGTTTCTGCTGAAAACATAAAGTGTTGTAATCTGCACCAAAACACATCTGTGGGATTGGCACCTGGCCCAGACGACGTATTAAAATCCAATATGAGCCGTCTGCAAGTAACCGGCAAACACCACACATCCCATAATGCTCTGCCATATCCCACCGTCTCCCACGGCAACAGGCATATTTCCCCAAAGCCAAAATCTCATATCCTGCTCCTCGTTCGTCGTCTTTATTATTACAACATCAGGAGCACGTTGGAAAAAACACGATTGGAAATGAATTATGATGCCATGAAAATCTGACGACGCAGTGAGGCTAAAAACAAGGATCTGATTATGACAAACTTTAAAACATGAACAATTAATGAGGCAAAAACTGTCGAAAGATTCACTGCATTTAATCCATAAATATAAAACTTATAGAAGTCATTTATTATAGAGCGCAGCTGTGAAGGCCTCGGTCAAAGATAACCAATCACTCTGACCACGTTTCTCTGAAACTCACCAAATAGTTTAAACTTAAAACAATCATTTAAATCTGTTTTTTAGTCTAAAGGTGAGGTACGTAACTTTGTACATAGATAATACATAGATTGTCCCAACATAGAGCAAGAGACAAAGAGAGTTAGTCCAATTATAATAATAAATTAGTTTTATACAGTCCCTCTCAAAGCGATGTGTTTTCTCTCCTGCTGTGGCTCTTCTCACAAACCTACTGCCAAGGCCGATAACATGGACTCTAAAACAAACCCTAACTTTTACAGCTATACCCAGCTACAGAACGTGGACCAGTGGCCGCTGAGCGTGGACAGGTCCGGTGCAGGACTGGAGCCCTCCCAGGCGGGTCGGGCGGGGCAGTCCGCGGGTGTAGATAGATAATGTGTCTGATCCAAACTGTCTGTGACATGTTACTGCTCTCTGCTGTTTATTCTACTGTTTGTCGCACCGCGCCGTAAAGATGGCGCCGTAAAGATGGCGCTGTAAAGATGGCGCTGTGGCAATAGCTCTCGTGTGTGTCGTCTTCTCTGTCTGCTGCACACTGGGGTAGTCTTGCACAGTTTTTCCAATGTGGTTTTACTGCAAATAAATCGGAATTCTTTCTCTCCAAACACTGTGGTGATAAACTATTACTGTAGCCACAGCTGCCCTGGGGCACACTGACAGAAGTGAGGCAACCAGTCTGTGCCATCGGCCCCTCCCACCACCACCAACCGGTCACACACACACCAGACTGGTCTGTCTCTCATGTATGTATAGAGATATCTCACGTGACGTCACGATGCCTCGAACTCGCGGGGCATCCGCCATACTGGAGGACAAGCAAACGCTGTATGATAGTGGCGTGCAGCCGGGACCGCATAAACATGTTCAACATTTTTGCCGTTTTTGGCTGCAGCAAAAGGAGAGACAGGGAAAATAAGTTGTGTTACCGACTGCCAGCCGTCCTTACTTCACACGGCTCAAAAACAGAAGACATCTCAAAGAAACGAGAGAGAAATGGCACAACCATACGCAACAACAAAAAACTAATAGCCCCCAGAGCGCCCGAATATGCTCGGATCATTTCATTTCTGCTAAGTGAAATCAATTTGATGGCGGATTTAGTGTTATTCCAAAACAAACAGAAGTTTAAGGATAAAACATATCTGTCTGACTGCAACGTGGGGTTGCTCCATAGACAGTAGCTTAGCTTGTAGCATAGCTGTTATATATTTGGTCTCACACAGGACCTCACCCGGCTCACAGGGTATCTGACTTACCGAAGGCCAGCAGACATGTGAACGACTGAGCCGTGCTCCAGGGTGCCCCGTACTAGTATTTATTAATAAAATATACGGCTCCTCACAGTAGACGCCGAAAGCTCCATTGATTTGAATGTAATCTCATTATTTCCACTGCAGTGTAGCCACACATAGATCAATGGTGTAACAATAAACACATTAAATGTTAATCGGAGAATACATTATACATATACATTCTTAATACACGTGCACAGAGGTTTTCAGAATTTTCTGTTCACGTTTTCATGAAAAAACACTGTTTTAATGCGACAATATGCGACCGCGGTAAACCTGGATGTAACGATAAACATTAATAATACATTTTAGGATGCATTTTCAGAGGATCTGATTCATGAATTTAGGTTGAGTATATATTTGGGTCACTAACTGCAGAAGTTTCAAATTCTCTGTTCAGTTTTCATGTAGTTCGAGAGAGTTCTAGTTTTGAACGTCCAGTTATAGATAGCAAGCAGGGCTGTTACTCGCCGAGGTTGTCCTCCAGTATGGCTGCCGTGGCTGCTAGTCACGTGACCGTAGGATCCCTCTATACGGTCTGTTGTTCATGTATGTATATGGTCTGTTGTTCATGTATGTATATGGTCTGTTGTTCATGTATGTATACGGTCTGTTGTTCATGTATGTATACGGTCTGTTGTTCATGTATGTATACGGTCTGTTGTTCATGTATGTATACGGTCTGTTGTTCATGTATGTATATGGTCTGTTGTTCATGTATGTATACGGTCTGTTGTTCATGTATGTATACGGTCTGTTGTTCATGTATGTATATGGTCTGTTGTTCATGTATGTATATGGTCTGTTGTTCATGTATGTATACGGTCTGTTGTTCATGTATGTATACGGTCTGTTGTTCATGTATGTATACGGTCTGTTGTTCATGTATGTATACGGTCTGTTGTTCATGTATGTATATGGTCTGTTGTTCATGTATGTATACGGTCTGTTGTTCATGTATGTATATGGTCTGTTGTTCATGTATGTATATGGTCTGTTGTTCATGTATGTATATGGTCTGTTGTTCATGTATGTATACGGTCTGTTGTTCATGTATGTATAGGGTCTGTTGTTCATGTATGTATACGGTCTGTTGTTCATGTATGTATATGGTCTGTTGTTCATGTATGTATACGGTCTGTTGTTCATGTATGTATATGGTCTGTTGTTCATGTATGTATATGGTCTGTTGTTCATGTATGTATATGGTCTGTTGTTCATGTATGTATACGTCTGTTGTTCATGTATGTATACGGTCTGTTGTTCATGTATGTATATGGTCTGTTGTTCATGTATGTATACGGTCTGTTGTTCATGTATGTATATGGTCTGTTGTTCATGTATGTATACGGTCTGTTGTTCATGTATGTATACGGTCTGTTGTTCATGTATGTATACGGTCTGTTGTTCATGTATGTATACGGTCTGTTGTTCATGTATGTATACGGTCTGTTGTTCATGTATGTATATGGTCTGTTGTTCATGTATGTATATGGTCTGTTGTTCGTGTATGTATACGGTCTGTTGTTCATGTATGTATATGGTCTGTTGTTCATGTATGTATACGGTCTGTTGTTCATGTATGTATATGGTCTGTTGTTCGTGTATGTATACGGTCTGTTGTTCATGTATGTATACGGTCTGTTGTTCATGTATGTATACGGTCTGTTGTTCATGTATGTATACGGTCTGTTGTTCATGTATGTATACGGTCTGTTGTTCATGTATGTATACGGTCTGTTGTTCATGTATGTATACGGTCTGTTGTTCATGTATGTATACGGTCTGTTGTTCATGTATGTATACGGTCTGTTGTTCATGTATGTATACGGTCTGTTGTTCATGTATGTATACGGTCTGTTGTTCATGTATGTATACGGTCTGTTGTTCGTGTATGTATACGGTCTGTTGTTCATGTATGTATATGGTCTGTTGTTCATGTATGTATACGGTCTGTTGTTCATGTATGTATACGGTCTGTTGTTCATGTATGTATACGGTCTGTTGTTCATGTATGTATACGGTCTGTTGTTCATGCATGTATACGGTCTGTTGTTCATGTATGTATACGGTCTGTTGTTCATGTATGTATACGGTCTGTTGTTCATGTATGTATATGGTCTGTTGTTCGTGTATGTATATGGTCTGTTGTTCATGTATGTATATGGTCTGTTGTTCATGTATGTATACGGTCTGTTGTTCGTGTATGTATATGGTCTGTTGTTCATGTATGTATATGGTCTGTTGTTCGTGTATGTATACGGTCTGTTGTTCATGTATGTATACGGTCTGTTGTTCATGTATGTATATGGTCTGTTGTTCATGTATGTATACGTCTGTTGTTCATGTATGTATACGGTCTGTTGTTCATGTATGTATACGGTCTGTTGTTCATGTATGTATATGGTCTGTTGTTCATGTATGTATATGGTCTGTTGTTCATGTATGTATACGGTCTGTTGTTCATGTATGTATATGGTCTGTTGTTCATGTATGTATATGGTCTGTTGTTCGTGTATGTATATGGTCTGTTGTTCATGTATGTATATGGTCTGTTGTTCGTGTATGTATACGGTCTGTTGTTCATGTATGTATACGGTCTGTTGTTCATGTATGTATATGGTCTGTTGTTCATGTATGTATACGTCTGTTGTTCATGTATGTATACGGTCTGTTGTTCATGTATGTATATGGTCTGTTGTTCATGTATGTATACGGTCTGTTGTTCATGTATGTATATGGTCTGTTGTTCATGTATGTATATGGTCTGTTGTTCATGTATGTATACGTCTGTTGTTCATGTATGTATACGGTCTGTTGTTCATGTATGTATATGGTCTGTTGTTCATGTATGTATACGGTCTGTTGTTCATGTATGTATACGGTCTGTTGTTCATGTATGTATATGGTCTGTTGTTCATGTATGTATAGGGTCTGTTGTTCATGTATGTATACGGTCTGTTGTTCATGTATGTATACGTCTGTTGTTCATGTATGTATACGATCTGTTGTTCATGTATGTATATGGTCTGTTGTTCATGTATGTATATGGTCTGTTGTTCATGTATGTATATGGTCTGTTGTTCATGTATGTATATGGTCTGTTGTTCATGTATGTATATGGTCTGTTGTTCATGTATGTATATGGTCTGTTGTTCATGTATGTATACGGTCTGTTGTTCATGTATGTATATGGTCTGTTGTTCATGTATGTATATGGTCTGTTGTTCATGTATGTATATGGTCTGTTGTTCATGTATGTATACGGTCTGTTGTTCATGTATGTATACGGTCTGTTGTTCATGTATGTATATGGTCTGTTGTTCATGTATGTATACGGTCTGTTGTTCATGTATGTATACGGTCTGTTGTTCATGTATGTATATG